TATATATATATATATATGGTGACCAATGATATTGGATGAATCCGCAAAACAATAAAGCAACGAAAAAACAAAGTGTTGCAACAAACGTGAAGGGGCAAACGCATGAAGAGTATATATATATACACAAAAGAGGCAAAGAAGTGTATAGAAGATGCAAAGAAGTATATAGAATAGGCAAAGCAGTATATAGAAGAGGGAAAGGAGGAGTTTAAGGAGTAGCCCTACCTTCTGACAGCTTTCTATACTCGTCTGAAGTCCTTCAACCTCTCTTTGGAGAGTTTTGTTGAATGTTTGGCTCGGTTCATGGCATTGGCTAATACACTCTGCAACCTTTTCTGGGTTTTGTTTGTGGCTATCGAAACATGAGACGCAGCACTGAAAAGCCTTCTTCTGCATCGGCAAAGAAAGCACTGTTATTTCTTTTATCATATCTTCAAATTTACTTTGAAACGACTTCGCCGTTTCCTCCAAAGATGAATTCATCTTCGCAACTTGGGGATGTAGAAACAGGGAAACAAGGGTGGCGTTCAACTCGCAAACTCTGATGAAATTTCAGAAGAAAATAGCGCGAAAATTAATTCGTATCAATTATTCCTGTTTCAATTTCGCGAATAGTGAGCAAAATGAACCATGAAAATGAGTACAGGCAGCCGCTTTTGCAAGAAGAGCTCTCGAGTCGTTCAGGTACCCCCACGATGCATGCGGTGTTGGAGAGCCGATTGTCCTTATCTCTCTGCAAAGTTTCTCAGGATTAATTAATTAAGTAAAATGTTTGATTTTTTTTCTTTAAATAGCTCGCAGACATCTTCTTTACATTCGATTCCCGCCACCGTCGCAGCTATAGACCGCCGCAATAACTCTCACCACCGGTAGGAAACCACATGAAACTTTCAAGAAAATGGTTTGAAAAACAGGAAATGAGTTGAAATTCAAATTGAATAGATGAAAGGGAGGGTGGGCAATCGACGATCTTTCTGTTGCTTCTGAAATATGAATGCCCTTGGCTGGTTTGCAATTGCCGGGTGTCTGCTCACCCTAAACACCACCTACTGCCTCTTGCGTGTTTCGAAGCCACCAAGCATTCGCTTTTCCTTTCTTTCTCCTCCGTTTCAGCAGCCAACAGTTCAACATTCCCTCTGCAATTCCGGCAGCTTACCCACCCGCGTCGGTAGCGTGCATAGCCAAACAGTCTCAGGCATATCGACAGCTTCGGACGAGAAACAAGCGAAAGCTGCATCATCCACCGACATTCGTTTTTTGCAACTCAAGAAGTGGCTTGCAGTAAATGGGGCAGATCTCGATGTTGACGGACTTGCGATAAGGAGTCATGCCGAGTCCGCTTATGAGCCCGTCACGGGGGTGAAGGGGGAAAGATATCTCACAGCTCTTCGTCACTACCCACGCGATGCCGTTATTGCATCTGTTCCTTCTCACCTTCACTTCACAACTGAAGCCCTTGAGGAGCTTCTTACCTCCCTGATTGGTGCCAGGCACACGAGCAGCGATGCAGTTAGTTCAGCAAAAGAAACGGCCTTGTGGAAAGAAGAAGACGAGCCGGATGCCTCAGAGACAGAATCAACTCTTTTTTACTTTGGCCAAATGAAGAAAGATGCGAAAATTCGCCTGTCGTTCATGCTGGCTGCATTCCAGGAGTTGGGGGAGGCTGAGGTGATCACCTCGCCGCTGAATTCATCTATTTCTTCTTCTCATTTCTCTGTTCTTATTCAAGGGTGGCTCGCCTACTTGCGTCTTTTACCGCCTCCCCTCCCCTCAATTCCTCTCTTCTGGAAAGCAGAAGAACTGCAGGCTCTCAACCATCCTATTTGCCACGCCGTCTTTGCTCGGTTGCGGTGTCTGTACACCGCGTTCCGCTCCCACGGTCATTTGCTGCGAGCCCCCCTTTCGGCCTTAGGCCAGAAAGGGGGGACCCCTGAAGAGGCCCGTGAAGGGGCTTCTGGGGCATCTTTGGATGAGGAGACGCAACTCTTTCAGCGACTTGTTGCGGCTCATGCAACAGTCAGCAGCAGATGTCTTAACTTCTCTAAAGACAGCTGCGCGTTTGTTCCCCTCGTTGATTTGTGTGCGCATGCAATGGACAGCCCCAACGCGAAGCTGCAGTTTAAGGCAGACAGCGGCAGGCGCTGCAGCTGCAAGCAAACAGCAGCTGACGGCAAACTGAAGCAAGAGAAAACAAACAGCATCAACAAGGAAGAGACAGCGGAGAGCCCCAGAACATGCGCCGCATGCAGAGGTGCTGGGGTGTCTGTACAGCTCGTTGCACTGAGAGATATCGCCCCAGGCGAACCAATTCAAATTTCATTTGGAGATAAACTCGATAACCCGACGCTCCTCCTCAACTACGGATTACTCCCCAAAGACAACCCGTAAGAGGCAACTGAATAAATGCTCTCTCAATGCAAGGCCCATTTAAATGCATTTAATAAACGCTAAATACAATTATTTTTGGAATATGTGCCGCTCAGAATACATGTTGAGGAGGCTGGTCATATATATATATAATATATATATATATATATATTGATTATTATATATATTTATATTACTGCCTGCAGCCACGAGAAAATAGCAATAGAGTTCTCTCCTGGTCGGGTGTACGTGGCGTTGCGGTCAGTGGGGGCGGAGGTGTTGATGCTGACAGAAGATTATAACTTTTTAGGAAAAAGTGCAGTTAAGGCTCTGACGGATCTTCGCATCATTCCCCCGAGGTGTACAGACACCTCAACTTCGTACGGCGAATGCCAACCGACCGTCTTCGTTACAAACGCTGCAGGGCCCGATGAACGTTTATTATCTGCTGCTGAGGTAGGTTTGAATTGGTATTAGTTTATGCATGCGGCTACTAAGGCTTTCCGTAGACTCTGCTGCAACACCTGAAACAGCAACTGTGCATACACCGCAACTTCTTGACTGTCCTCATACAACATCATACACCAGCATTTGCATACCTGGCTTCTTTTGTTCTTTTTGCTGCTGTCAACGCTGCAGGTCGTGACGAAGAATCAAGATATTTTCGATGGCTCAGAAGACGCACCAAAACGTGCGGAGGTGAGGGAAGACAGACAAAAGAAATAAATAAAGATTCAGTTGTTGTACACTCAGGGAAACGAATTTAGGACAGGTGCCTGTGGCCGCTATCTTCGTGTTGCCGAATCCTTGCATGCATGCATTGCTTGCCTCGGTATGCATATCTGTATGCATATATGCGTATACATGCATATATATAGTATATGATGATATACGTGCATACCCGTGTGTATGCGTGTTGTATCTGATGCATTTGGGTATGCCTGCACGTTTGTGTGGTTTGGTGAATGCATGCATGCATCTGTATCCGCATGCATGCGTTTGTTGTGTGTGTTTGTGAATGTGTGTATATGTGCATTATTCAGGAGCGAGCTATTCGTTTCGTAATATCCTTTCTGCAGCATGCATTGTTTGAGCAGTTCAGCAATACAACAAAAGCTGAAGACTCTAAAATACTCCGAGACAGGCAAATATTGCGTCCCTCAACGAACCGTCTGGGCCTCGAGGAAATAACATATTTGACACCGCAAATGGAAACGGCAGTGCGTTTCCGAGAAAAAAGAAGAAATGTGTTGATAAAAGCCATCGAAATGATGAACGAATCGCTTAGAAAGAGCTTGACGAAGAAATGAAACCTCATGAACACAACATTGCTCAGGTGTACAGACACCAGGATATACGTCTATCTGCCGGTGAGAGTTTCGTTTGCTTGCAAAGAGGAATTCATCGTTGTTTCTTTGACTATATCAGTGTTTTATGCATGGATTCTTTCTTCATTGCCGATGAAGTTTCGGTTAGTGTGGCCTTTGATGGCCGTTGGTTTGATTTTTTTTCGAGTTTCTGCATTTTCTGAGAAGCGTCTTCGCTCTTTTTACGGAAATGGAATCTTAATTCCATTTCTTCATCCTACCCCTTCTCGTCGTTCTTTGCGTTTTGTGCAGACAAAAAGCAAAAGGGATTTGATGGTGTTTGTGACGAACGTGTTTTTTCCTGTGCAAAACCCCCCGGAGTATAAACAGCTGTTCAGAAGAGGTGGCTGCCCTCGGTGGCTGCTGGATCCTCGTCTGGGCCCTCCTCGATTATCTGCTGATTGGCTACCTTCTG